CATCAAAATATTGAATAAACGGAGGTACAGTTATACGGGGGCTGTACGAAGACGTGAACATGCTTAGGACATTTTTAGAAATAGGTTGTGGTATCGATTACAGACTTCAAATACGAAATTTGAAACAATTCCGGTAAATAATGTCTCTAAAATCATGAAAATACGGAATATCGGGAGGTACCATTATATGGGGGCTATTTGAAAACGTCGATCGACATGGCCCATTTACGAACTTAACCTGCCTACTGACAAAATACACATGTGTGGAACATTTTAGCCTTCTATCTCTATTCGTTCGAAAGATAGCGTGATTATGACAGACAGACAGACATCTGTAAATCGTCTTTGAATTTTGCGCTGACCCGGAATATATATCCTTTTAGGGTTCATCATCAATATTTCGAGGAGTTACAAACGGAATGACAAAGCTAATATACTCTCCATAGAATGGTGGAGGGTATAAAAACAAACAAATTGCAACTGAAAGAGTTCTGCAAAATAATAAAACTTCGAATCCAAGCAAAGAATTGCATTTTTATTCCTGCGTCTTGGCATCTCTTTTCCTTTGGCATAAAAGAATGACTCACTTATAGCTCAAAGCAACAGCAACAATGGATATAAAACAGAAATGTTGAATGCTGGTCATGAGGGTTTGAAATCCGTCATCCACTGGCCTATAGTGGCTGCGATTGGAGTTCAAATTGTCAATATCCGTTGTGCGTTGTGTGTGGCGAATGGCACGCAAAAGCACATAGATTTGCAACTATAGCAATTAGGGTATAAAAAAGAGTCAAAAGCAAAAATCTTTTCAATGATTTGGAAATGTTGCAAAGCAGAAGGAAAGACATAATCTATCCAAATCAGTTCTATGAGAAATCTTTGTAATGCCTCCCAAGAAGCGTGTAACGAAATTCAAGAGACTTATACTGGGCCTCAATACAGGCCCTACATCGTAGGGAAAATCTTAGTCAATTTAACGATTTCTCGAACTGCACAAATTTCATTAATTCGCTGTAAGCAGATGCTTAATTCTGGCTTCCCTATATCTTCATTTTCCATTCGGCAAATATTGAAACATGAGCAAAGCCACTGAAATTCCAAAAAGTGCAAGAACTTACACCGCAACTGGAACAAAATAGACTCAAAAGAGCTAAAGAGTTGCTTCGCTTGGACAAAAGTGGTGAAAAGCCGTATTTGGTTGGTGGTCTCCGATGAGAAAACATTCGTTGTCCAGCAGTTTGTAAACAAACAAAATAATCGTGTTTACTTGCCAAAGTGGTCAGCAGAAAATGTGCACCTTCAGTTGACCACCAGAACTCAAGCGCCGCCCATGGTAATGGATCGGCCATAACAGCCGCTCGTATTAATCGACCGTGGCACCAGAATAATTACCAAATATTATCGCGAAAATGTTCTGGAGAGTGTATTAAAGCCTTGGGCACGCAAACATTTTGGCCGCAGACCTTGGACATTCCAGCAGGGCTCAGCACGTGCCACCAAGAATGTTTACAAAATGAGGTTCCTCTCTTCATTTCCAGCGCACAATATCCACTAAAATCTCCGGATACCAACCCGTTGGACTATTGTGTCTGGAGTATTTTAGAAAGCAAGCTTGGTGTCGATCACCTCAAGCAAGCGCTTCGCCGGGAATGGGTCAAAATACCGCAGAGCAACATTCGGGCAGCGTGTGACGGTTTCATTTTCCTCGCTTCATTTCCAGCGCACAATGTCCACCAAAATTTCCAGATACCAATCCGTTGGACTATTGCGTCTGGAGTATTTTGGAAAGCAAGGTTGGCACTAAAAAATTCCAAAATGTCAATCACCTCAAGCAAGCACTTCACCGGAAATGGGCCAAAATATCGCAGAGCAACATTCGTGTACGGCGTTTGACGGTTTCATTGGCCGTTTGAAGGCCATAATTTGTGCTAAAGATGACCAATTCGAACAAATCTAAATTTATTCTAAAATTTGATGCTATTTCCGACATTTTTCCTTTCATTCAAAAAAAATTAAAAAAAAAAAAATCTAAAAATTGTGGCGCTTGACTTTGTCGCAGTTTTTTAATCTCACCCTGTAATTCGCCGTAAGCAGATGTTTAATTCATTTGATGGCTTCCCCATATATTTGTATTCGTTATGGTTTTTTTTTTCTTTCCTGGGTCGAACTTGCGATTCCATCCAAAGGGATTCTTAAGCCAAAGACAAAACCAAAGCTTCAAGAAAAGGCAATAAAAAAAGAGGATTAAAATCCTCATTAAATTCATAATAAACATTGGATATGTTTTTTTTTTTTTTCTATTTCCAATATCCCACGTGCAGTTAAAAATTCTTTTGAAATTACACCTCTCAAATGCCTAGTACCACAACCAAACAGTTCATTTGAATGAATGAGAATAATAGCTACGAAAAAAGATTGAAAAGATATTAAATTTAAAAATAAATAAAATTGCGCCTTTCATTTGCAATGTAAACAAATAGTTTGTTGTTATTACTTTTTGCACTATGAATTCTCATTCAATTCGAAAAGAAAAGAAAGCGATAAGAAATAGTGGGGGAAAAGGAATAATTAATGTCATTCATGGTGTAAAAAATGTTGCTACGACGATAGACAATGTCTAGTTTTTTTGCAACTATCAGGCAGACAGTTACGTACTTATTTTGCAAAATAATTTATTGGTTACTAGAACAGAGCTTAGACACCAACATCGTATGGTGTGATAACGCATGTGGGTTTTTTTTTGGATGATTAATATAAAATACTTAAAACAGGCAGTTTTTTAATCATACATTTTGTTCTCCAAATTATAAACTTTGAACTTTTCAGTTCTGCTGTCATATCAGGCCATAGAATAAAAACAAGTTTATGGCGACGACATTTCTTTTTGGCTTCTCACCAAAAACCACAAAGCAGTATAGCTAAAATGCCACACATACGGTCGTCGTCGTATGCATATAGCCGCCATGTACATTCATACCAGAAGATGTCAGCAATTACGCTCAAAAGAAGGAAATACGAATAGGATAAATAAAATCAGAAGAAACACAAATATAAACAAATGCTTAAGAAAAAATTAAAGAAAGAGGAGGCATACACAAATCTGACCTTCGTAATGGCAAAAACAAGAAAAATAAATAAATACGTCAGACATTTGTTTTTGTTGCATACAACAACAATAGAATTATTTAAAACTATTTTAAAAAAAAAAACCTGTTGCCAAGAACATTTGTCAATTTTTGTCTCTATTTTCCATACCCACGAAAGGCAGGCTAATAAATAATAGTTGTTCAATTCACTTACCATGTTCATAGGGTGAAAAGGTGCCGGCATCAATATTTATATATGGATCGATTTTAATGGATGTCACATCCAAACCACACGATTTAAGGAGGGTGCCGAATGATGAGGCGATGACCCCTTTGCCGACACCACTGATAACACCACCAGTTACCAAAATGTATTTCATTTTTTTTTCAAAGATGTCTAAAATAAAATAATATTTTCAAATTAATTAAAAATATTTGCAAAAATAATTTCCCATAACAGCCAACTAACCTTTGTCAGATGAATTGAAGAATTTCAATTAAGCAAAATCAGCAGCAGCAGAAAAATTTATCTTGTTCTTGTTATTGTATAAACAATAGATGGCAACAACAACAACAATATTTTAAATAACAAAACACAAAACGTGAGGGGTGAACTTGTTGTTGTTATTGTCGTCGTTGTAGGGGAAATGTTAACGAATACCACGGGGGGAAATGAAAACACGCGGTCGGAGCAGGATCCGGTGTATATAGGATATATAAAAACTGGTTGTAGGTTTTCCTTTATAAAATCGATATTTTTTGGGACACAGCAGTTATACAGAACTTTATTAGCTTAGATAGATGGATCTCATTTAACAAAATCTCGCATTTCACACCACTTTTTTAAGACTGCATGTGATTTTTTAGCAGAAACCAATCAACATGTTCAATTATGTTCTTGAGGTTTCTTCTTTTTACTGTAGAAATTAAGGAAAACGAAAATCACTTGTTATGCGATTTCCTATAGAGCACGTTTCTTTGATTCTCAATCTTTTTTTTAAGATTTATTAACTTTTTGCGCGCTTCTATTGTTTTTTATTTGCACATCTGTAATGTGGCCGCGTGTTATTTTACAAATTGCCAATTAGGGTTATGTTGATCGACTTTGGCCTTAACGATTAATCGATTATAGGAAGAGTACAAAAGTCGACTTAGTGATCCCTCATAAGGCATCATCTTTCTGTGAATCGTGTGAATTGTTGGATAATCTGCTATTTGATTTCGAATTGTTAACGGATTTTCTGATAAAGTAATGGCAAATGTGAAGCATTATTTTTTATAAAAGCAATGTTGTTTACCATAGTTTAATTTTATTTACATGAAAATTCTGCTCCAATAACTTCTATCAATTTTGGTAGTTGGCGGGAAAAAGTTACAGACAAGACATGAAATAAATTCGGTGATTAATGCAATTTGTAATCCAGGAGTCTTTTTAGGAGTCTGTCTTGAAAATCGACAACCCTATGTAGTCTTTGCAGAAATTTGTCAAAAACTGTTCCTTAAAATCCACTAGTTTTTACGAGCCATACTGAACATATTTTGAAAAACTTGCGAGCCTGTGAAGGAGACTTGATACAAATGTTTTTTTTTTTTTTTATGAATCCAAAAGCCTTTGTAGGAATTTGAGCACAACTCTTTGTAGTATTCTTACTAAAAAACAAAATATTCTGAAAAAGTTACGAGCTTCTGTAAATGGCTTGCTTAAAATATTGTTTAAAGTCCCAGAGATTTAAAGGGGTCTAGCTCGTTATATTCCTAGAAATCCACGAGCAATCATAGATTACCTTCTTAGAATACTATTAATATACCACAAGGCTTTGTAGATACCCTGTATGAAACAATGTTTCACGAGTGTTGCCTGATTTGATTATTTCTCCCATTCACATCATAGCTTATATAATAAAATTGCCCAACTTTTTCTGTTTCTATTGCTTTAAGCACTTTATTTAAAAAATTATTTCGTTTTATTGATACACTTGTTGTCTTATAAATGCCTTGAAACATTCCACTTGAGAGTAAGCAAAAAATATGTAACTAAAAGTTGAGTAAACTGATACAAAAAAATGCAATTAACCAAATAGTAACTATAGAAATAAATAGCCATTAATAATATAAAATAGTCCAATCGAAGTTCTCTTATTTTGTGGTAGCTTCCTGTTGTTCAAACAAAGGATATTTCTCCAAAACTTGAGACCATTGCATCTTGCCAGTCGACAAATCCTTGACAACATCAATAACTTCATTGATGTCGACACGCACCTGTTTCATGGAATTACGATCTCTCAAGGTGACAGTATGGGGCTCCTTCAACGTGTCAAAATCAACGGTGATACCAAATGGTATGGCAATTTCGTCAGTACGAGCATAGCGACGACCAATTGAACCACTGGAATCATCAACCTTATGAGAAAGTTCAGCTTTTGTCAAAGCCGAAGATAATTGCCGGGTGTAGGGTTGGAATTCAGCATTATTGGATAAAGGTAAAATGGAACATTTAAGTGGTGCCACCACCGAAGGCAGGGTGAAGTAGCAACGCTGCTCATCACCATCACGACACATAAAGTTTTGCTCGAGCAAAGCATACATAATCCGGCCAATACCAAATGAAGGCTCCACAACACTGGGAATGATTTCTTCAACATGGACAGTTTTTGTTGAGTGCTTAACTGAAATGGTATCGGGAGTCAACTTGAATTCAGCACCTTCACCAGTTTTCAAGGTATATTCCTTAGCTTCATTCAATTGTTGTTCCACACTCTTGACATCGTCCAATGACAGCTTGGCCAGGGCATCAGTTATGGCCTTGGCATCCTTTTTAAAGGTCTTACCCAAGGTTTGCTTGTTGGGTACAATTTCCGATACCTCAACGGTCTTGGGAGCTGGCAAACGTTTTTCCGCCACCAAACGTACACCAGTGGCAGCCATGTGCTGACTCAAATCATAGGCCGAACGATCGGCACAGCCAACACACTCAACCCAACCATAACTGGTCAAACACTCAGCATCCCAACAATCGCAGGCATAATGGGCCATTTCATTGCTCATGTGTTGACGGAAACGCAAACATTCGGGTTTGATGCCAATTGTTAGCAGGAATTGATGGATACGTGCCATGTAGTAACCCAAAGTTTCATTGGCCACCAAACCGCTCTTAACAGCATCTCCAATGCGAATCTTTTGTGCCGATTTGCCATCCATTTGGTTGCAGGCCGAATAGAGTGTCATTTCTGTTTCAGCTATCAACTCAAATTTGGGATGATCCTTTTGCGTGGGATCACAGAAATGTTCAATTTCAGCCATTGTGAACTCACGTACACGTATCAAACCAGAACGTGGTGAAATTTCATTACGGAAAGAGTTGCCAATTTGGGCCACAGCAAAGGGTAGTTTGCCTTGATTGAATTCCAGCAGACGTTTGAAGTTAACAAAAATACCCTGAGCCGTTTCGGGACGCAGAAAACCTTTCACCAAACCAGTGGGACCGATTTGGGTGGCAAACATAAGATTGAATTCAATGGGTTCCGTTAAATCATTGCCGGTCAATGGAGATTTGATTTGGTACTTGGTCAAAACATCAGCCATTTCTTGTTTATTCATGCCATCCAGTTTAATGCAAATATCTTCGCACTCAGCCTTAAGCTCAGCGGTGGCATTTTTCTCACGTGACAACTTTTCCAAGGCATTTTTGATTAAATGATCCAAACGGAAACATTCGCCAGTCTTGACATCCTTTACCATCAAATCGGCAAAACGATCTACATGTCCCGAAGCTTTGAGAACAGGTTCAGGTGTCAAAATCGAACAATCCACCTCCAACATTTGTTCCTCCAAACTGAAAAATTGACGCCACAAACTGAGTATATTTGATTTCAAAGCACAACCCATGGGACCAAAATCATATTGACCGGTAATACCACCATAAATGGCAAAACTTTGATCATAGAAGAAACGACGTTTGAGCAAATCTTCCATCTTAGATCTATCGAATGTCACCACAGTGGGGGTCAATTCCAATTCTTTGTCTTCCAAGATCTTTTTTCGCAATTTCAATTCGGCCACAGCTTTCTTCACATCAATCTCGGCGGCACCATTGGCCTTTAGTTCTCTAACCAAATTTCCCTGCTCCTGGACGGCAGCCCGTAGAGGAGCCAATTGTTCTTCAATTTCAGGATTACTCATGATGTCCTTTAGATTTAGGCGAACGTTGCGCTTAGTTTTCTTTGAACCCCAAACTGGTGGTTTATTGGCTGCGGCTGCTGCTGGTTGGGTACTTTTAAAACGTCTACTAGCTGATGACAAATCAAAGCTGTAGTAGGTTGCAACTGCTGCTGCCGAAGAAGATGTAGAGGGTGATGTAGAAGAAAACAGTGATGTGCTGGCAAATTCTCTTCGTTGCTTTGCAAAACCACCGGCAATTCTACAGATATTCGTCGCCAAGTGAATACGTGTTTTCAGAAACGTATTCAAAATCTGTAAAGACATTGAGATTTAATTATTTTTCACAATTTTCACTGGGTTTACATCACAAAATTCCACAAAAATCTTGGACTGAAACACGAACCTTCAATGATGCATGTGCTGCGGCAAGAGATGACAAATACTCGATGGTTCTTTCGATAGCTCTTTTTGGTAATATAATCGATTAATTGGGTAATATCGATAACATCCGTCATTTGTGTCTCGGAGTCACATATAAGGGAATTTTCTAACTTTAACTTAGCGTGGCAAAATAAACCAAAAATATTGCTAAAACATCTTAAGAGAGGCAATAATTTATCACATTTTTTATTATTAATTTAAAATCAATTGTTTTTACCGTGTTTTTGGGGCAATGTCGTCTGACGCCAAACGCTTTACGCCTTCGCTTTAATGATTTCGATAAACCAGCTGTTTACAAATGTCATTTCATTGTTGTGAAAATGTAAACATAAACACGTGCATAGAGAGAAGAACACCAGAAATTTGTTGAATTGTTTCACAGTAAAGAAAAAGTCTATCCAATTAACAATTTAAGTATTTGTTTATCAAATATTCCTTGCCAAATTGGTAATTTATGTGAGAGTAGTGGATTTTTGAACAAAATGACCGATTTACATCAATTTAGTGATGCCGAAGAAGATGAAGAGATACCATATAAGGTAAGACGTCAATACATTGTTCCAAAGGAAAAATCATTTAATAACTTATGTTTTGTTTAGGAAAACCTGGTTACCGGTTTCAAGAAGCTAACGGTTAAGGATGAAATCTTTAAAGATTTAAAAGATGTAGTGGACAAGACAACGGACGACTTAAAGGAGAAAATTTTAGTCCAAGAAGAGGAGGCTGACGATGATGCTGAGGAGGATGAGAATGATGACCCCAACAATGCTTATGACTACTATGACGACGAGGATGATGATATAGATTATCAGGATAACTATGATTATGAGGAAAATTATGCCGGCTTTCAAAAACACAATACACACAATCACCTCTCTGCCTCGTCAGGAACGGGTGGAGGAGGTGGTGGTGGTGGCGGTGCCTCACAACGTGTTAGCAGTTATCAACCCAACGAAAAGTTATTCACACGCTATTCAGCCCGTATAAATGTGGAAAAATATGATCCCACAACAAACATGTCTGCCCAGGCGGCAAATCGTTTGGTATCCTTCGATTCCAAACAGGACAATAAAATTAAAATACGTGATAAACATGATCGGGCGACGGCAGAACAAGTCATGGATCCACGAACACGTATGATATTGTTTAAACTCTTAAATCGTGGCCTGATTCAAGAAATCAATGGCTGTATTTCCACGGGCAAGGAGGCCAATGTCTATCATGCAGTTTCAAGGGACACCGATGATGAGTTTGCCATTAAAATCTATAAAACATCCATATTGGTATTCAAAGATCGCGATAAGTATGTGAGTGGCGAGTTTCGTTTTCGCCATGGCTATTGTCGCCACAATCCTAGAAAAATGGTACGCACCTGGGCCGAAAAGGAAATGAGAAATTATTTGAGAATGTTCAATGCTGGGGTGCCAGTACCGGAGCCAATACTTCTGAGGTCTCATGTTTTGGTGATGCGTTTTTGTGGTAAAAATGGCTGGCCCTCGCCCAAATTAAAAGATGTTGAACTGACCACATCAAAGGCCCGAGAACTGTATCGAGACTGTGTGGTTCTCATGTGGAAAATTTATAACAAATGTCGTCTGGTCCATGCCGATCTTTCGGAATTTAACATTCTCGTTCAAGATGGCCAGTTGATTATAATTGATGTCTCACAGTCCGTGGAGCACGATCATCCGCATGCCTTTGATTTCTTGCGTAAGGACTGTACAAATGTATCGGAATTCTTCCGTAAAAAGGCTGTGGCCACCATGACCGTCAAAGAGTTGTTTGATTTTATTACCGATCAAACAATTACCGAGGAAAATATGGAAACCTGTTTGGAAAAGATATCGGAAAAAATCAAAGATCGCGATTTTGAGGCAATCACAGCCCAGGAAAAAATCGATGAGGCTGTGTGGCAACAAACCTTCATACCCAAACGTCTGGATGAGGTACGTTATTTTGAGCGCGATGTAGACAAGGTGAAAAAGGGAGAGAAGCAAAATTTGATTTATGGCAAAATCACGGGCCTCAATGAAAAGCTGGAGGTACAAAAGAAGCCGGCGATTTTGTCGGAAAAAGAGCGGGAAGAGAATGAGAAAAATTCGAATAAAACAAAGGCAGATGGTGGAAATGATGAGGAAGAGGAGGACGAGGAGGGTGATGAGGATGGCGAAGAAGGAGATTCCAGTGATGATGAAGATCAAACGAAATTCAAAAATTCCGCCAGACCCCGTGATGAGTCGCCGGAAAGTAAAAAGGCCCGCAAAAAGGCTGTTAAAGAGGCCCAGGCCGAGAAACGCAAAGTGAAAGTTAAAAAACATGTCAAGAAACGTAAAGAGAAAATGGCCAGTGCCAAGAAGTAAGAGTTGTAATAGCTTTTTTCTTTAAACAAATTTTGTAATATATTTAGAGGAAAATAAATATAGTTTTTTTTTTAACCACTTTCATGTAAGAAAATCCGTTTCGAAATGTAAATAATTTGTAAATGGAAATAAATTTTACTAAACTATACTGGATAGAAAGAACGGAGGTATTCTTAAAAATAGGACTTCTAGAATCTCGTGCAATAGTTAAAATTTTCCTGATTTTGCATTCATTTTACAGGTCACAATTTAAAACCAAACGGACAGGGAAGAAGTCGAGCATTTTGTATGACACGACGGAGTGGGTAAATAAGGGTATCATCCGGGCAGGTCTCTATGACATTATTTCAAAAACGAAATTTTCCAAAATGGATTTAGACACGAGGGGGCTTCCAACCTATTGTAGTGTTGTAGGGTATCACATGGACGGCTATAGCCTTTGCTTTCTTGTTTCTTTTGCATTTTATTATTATTAAAAAAGAACAATATGGAATTATGTTCACCACTTCACATAAAATATATCTTCATTAAACATTCTTTGGATGAATGAAATATTCAATATTTTTTTTTAAAAAAGAGAGCTATACAAATCTATTTTAAGCATATATTATTTTCTCACTGGATTATATGCTATATAAAATATATATAAAAAATGTTCACTTAATGATTATCACAGTTAAAATTACCCGCCCATACACCCATATTTAAATATACGTTATTTAAAGGAAAAAACTCTCATGTCTTACAACGTCTCCACAAAGATATAAACAATGATACTCTAAAGGCAATAAACAATACAAATAAGTACAAAATTTGATGGAGAACACTGACATTATCCAGATTTAAAAATTTCAACAACACCCGTGGATTACTGAAGTGACAATAGATTTCACCACAATCTAAAATGTCACGACCATAACCGAATATGGTTATGACCAGGGCCACAACACCGTCACGCATAAAACTGATTTTCATGAACCAATCCATGGCTGGCGAAATTTGTCCGGCAAAATCGAAGCCATATATGGCCAAGCCCATAAAGGCAGCAATGCTCATGGGACCGAAGACGGAACCGTTCTGGAAATAGAAATAAAACAAATTAATTTCACCCGAAAAAGAGTTATGATAGTTTACATACCGTTATACTTAGGGCCGCTCCAATTGTCAGACCCAATCCCTCGGCCACCAGCGATACCATAATGCCGACTCCCACAAATATTGCAAAACGCCACCATTGACATGGAAACCCTGTCATCCAATAGCTAAGTGTTAGAAATATTACATTGTAGAATACCTGCAGCGGCATACGACTCATACACAGGGCCATGAAATATGTTGAGAGGGAGTACCAGTGATTGAAAGTTTGTTTCTTGACGATTTTCACCTCCAAAGGATCTGCAAAAAAAGGACTTTTGTAAATTCTCTTTATGGACATTTCAAAATGTTTACAAATGCTATCGAATTTTGAATGGCGTTTCCGAGAAGAGTTCTACAAGTTCTTCGAAATTTTAAAAAATATTTCGAGGAAGACTTGTGCCAAGAATCTAAAATTTTTAGGAAGTTTTTAGACAGACGCCTGTTTTTTAGAAATTTTTTAAATAAATCTTCTACGGAAACTTTTGGATTTTTAAGTAGAATCGGATGGCTTCTAGCAAGGCCTGTGTGCAGACAGGCTCCAGAATTTTAACCATATTAAAAAGATTTCTAAAAAGTCTAATGGAAGATATTAAGGCACTCCAATTTTTTTTCTTCAAATATTTAGAAAGACTCCAGAGTTCTAAAGTTGTTTAAAAGAAGACTACAAATAAAGGCTCTCTTGGTAATTTTCAAAAAAAAATCCGTTAAAAATTCTGTTAAAATCTTACAAATACCGAATGTAGCTTTTATATTAGGGTCTATACGATGACGTGGACCTGCATAGGCAACTTTTGTCATAAGCCATTACAATATTCAAATGCGAAATGAAATCGGTGAATTATGTCGCTAAAATTATCAAAATACGGAATATAGGGAGGTACCGTTATATAGGGGCTTTAGGAAGACGTGGATCTGCACAGACAATTTTCTGTCATAGGCTGTAGTATCCATTACGAACTTAAAATACCAAATTTCAAAGAATTCCGATGAATAATGTGGCTAAAATCGTCAAAATACCGAATATCGGAAGGTACCATTATATGGGGTCTATATCAAAACGTGGAGCTGCACGGACAATTTTCTGTCATAGGCTGTAGTATCCATTAGGAACTTCAAATACCAAATGTGAAACATTTCCGGTCAATAATGTCGCTTAAATCACCAAAATACCGAAAATATGGAGGTGCCATTATATGGGGTTATATGAAGACGTGGACCTGCATAAACAATTTTCTGTCTTAGGCTGAAGTATCCATTACGAACTTCAAATGCCAAATTTGAAACATTTCCGGTGAATATTGTCGCAAAAAAGCATCAAAATACCGAATATCTGGAATTGCCATTGTATGGAGACTATAGGAAGACGTGGACCTGCACAGACAATATTCTGTCCAAGGCTGTAGTATCTATTACCAACTTCAAATACCAAATTTGAAACATTTCCGGTGAATAATGTCAC